CGCCGCAAATTGAACAATTATTTTAAAGGCTACGTGTAGTGATATTGTATTGGGAAGTATATGGTTATAAGTGATAAAATATTTACCTTGTCGTTGTGGAATAATATATATAAATTTGGTGTTTGAGTGTGCAGTTCATAATACAAATTTCAGTAAATGTTCATTTTATGCAAATAAGAATAAGTGTTTTAATACAATAAATTGTTTGTTATAAATAGTGGACCACTTTTTTTATTTTCACTTCATGATAAACATTTAAATTGCTTGCAACAAGACTTTCTGTCACACGTTCTGTGTACGTATGAACTGTAAAAAGAAAGGGAGAGAACGCATGGCAGGATGTCTTACTGCAAGAAATTTAAATGTTAAAGATGAAGCGAGAAATGAAAAAAAGAAATCAACTATTTGTAACGCACAATTTATTGTATTAGAATACAGTTCATACGTTCACAGAACGCATGGCAAAAAGTCTTATAACAAATGTAAATAATGAGAAAATAAGCAAATGAACAGAGATCCACTATTTGTAATAGATTATTTATTGTATTACAATAATATAGAAAAAGAAAGGTCAGACTTAGTCCTTTGAGTTCTCAAAATTATGCACGACACATGACAGAAAGTCATGTTGCATTTAAATGTTACTGATAAACTGATTACATTTGATTTTCATAAATTTCTTGCAATAAGACTTCTTGCAATGCGTTTCGCGTACTTTTAAAACCTTAAAGGATTCGAACTGATCTCCTATTTTCTATTATTTGAAGTCATTCACTATACAAATTATTTTTGTAAAAAGAAATGAGATCCCCATAAAAAACTTCAAAAAAGTAAAAAAATTAGGCCAAGTACATGAAGAAGTGGAGGACTCAAGGAATTATCATAGAAAAATAAAAGATTCCCATAAAAAAGTACAAGAAAGTAGAAAAAGATGTGAAATCAAAATGAACTACCAGTACATGAAAGTCCTTTCCAATAAAGTGCAAATTATGCGCAGCTAAAATGCTGTGTTCAACAGTGCGGACGTTCAGATCCTAATGACAATTCATATAAGTGACTTCTCCACACTTTAGCGATGACATGAAGAAGCTAAATAGCGTATCATCCACAAACTGAGGCTGCTTAAAAATTTGCTTTGATGTCCGCGGCCTGGAAGTCAAATGCTTGGCGTGACCAGCTAAGGCATTCTCAGATCATCAAGACCCGTACTTTCTCGCTCGCAGGCTTTTAGATAATTTGTCAGTTTAAAACTCTGACAATATAAGTACACTTTCATTATTTTGCGTTTTAAAATAATTTGTATTCATCGACACGACCTTGCCTGGCCACGCCAAGCATTTGACTTCCAGGCCGCGGAAATCTAGGCAAATTTCTAAACAGTCTCAGTTTGTGGCTGATATGCTATTTAACTTCTTCATTTCGCTGCCAAAGTGCGGAGCAGTCAGTTTACATGAGTTGTCATTAGGGTCTGAATGTCTGCACTGTTGAATACAGCATTTTAACTGCGCATAGTTGGAAAGCACCGAATTTTTCATTGTGTTATACAGTGTCGCCTTTGCACTTTGCTGGAAAGCACCTTCATGTACTGTTAGTTCATTTCGATTTCATATATTTTTCTACTTTCTTGTAGTTTTGTATGGGGATCTTCTATTTTTCAATGATAACTCCTTGAGTTCTCCACTTTTTCATGTACTTGGTAGAATATTACTTTAACTTATACCTATGGTATATATTTGTTTTATTTTACGTCATTAAATAAAAATACATATTTGTTCTTATTTACGTTATAAATTATTTATTCATAGAATTACTTAACAAATACGTTATTATATATACAAGCAACTCATTTTGATGAGGTTAATAGTAGTTAGTATATTGCATTTGTCGGTACAAATTGGTTTATATATATTAACATATGTTTATTTATATGTGTTACTTATATAATTAATTGAATTTTATATAAATGTCTTTTAATTATGTCAATTAAGTATCTTCGATTTAATTTGCTCATATCAATTGTCAATCACATATCTTCGATTAAATTCGCTTATATCAATCGTCAATTAAACGACTTTCGATTAACTTTGCTTAATTCAATTTTAATTAAATAATTTTTAATTACATTTATTCAAAATATTTATTAATTAAGTTGATTGAATTAAATTTGTTTAAATCAATTGTTTAATTAAAATATTGAAATTGATTATTATTCAAACCCTGGATTATATCAAAACCGACATTACAACGGTACCTACCAACAATAATCCTGTTACGTCCCAACTAGTTTGGGACTTTCTTTAGGGATTCTTGTCTTCGGTTAAAGAGCTAAAGCTCACCTTACCTGTATTTAATTGGAAAAGAAGGAATTCTGGGATTCTATAATGATTGTCACTAAGTTTAAGTATTAACAAATATAATTATGAAACAAAACTGAGTTTGGGATTACATACAAACAAGAATATAAATTATACAATTGAAGATGGTTTTAACAATACCAATCGTTGATCTTATGCTATCGGCGGCGTTGTCAGGTTGTCCCGGGCTCGGCTGTGGCGAGGATCTGGTCTGGTTGTACACTCGCGACATGGGACTCTAATAATTGGCGAATAATAAACGTCGGACTTTCGTAGGTAACTCCGCGATGACTCTATCTTTAGTGCGTATGTTCTCACTTACGCGAACTCTTTACTTTCCTGGAGATACGATACACGATACCTAAATGAGACTAACGCGAGAGATTAACCTGTCCGCGACTACAGAATAACAACGGACAAAATAATACACAAAAAGCAAGCAAGCCAAAAAAGCGTTCGTGGTCGTGACCACGGGTTTATATACCCCTAGATCCTCGCAAGGCACGAGCCGCGTTCGGGAACCTTCGTTTTTGCATCCGTTGAAATCGGGAGGAATCCCAAGTTCAGCGGATGTGCTGGCGTTGAGTGCTGACACCTATATCGCGGATTGGCACATCCCACGATTCGGTTCCCGAGAAACGGTTTCCTAATCGCACGTCAAGCGCATTCCTAAAAGTATCCGATCTTAACTTATTCGCAATGCGAGGTTGATGAACAGGGACACCGGCAGGGCCGGATGTAACAATCCTAAACCTATTTCACCCCAAGAAAAGCTATGTGTTACATTGAGGTAAGTGGTCTTAAAAATGAATAAAAACACCGTCTTTTATACTGCTAATTTTATATTTTTATTCGCTGTCATCTTCTTCTGCTCTGTTATTTATATTGCCTGATAAATATTGTATATCAAGTTCACTAACGAGGTTACTAATTTTTCTTCTCGCATGTGCGTAATATAGTGGCGACCATGTTTTGGCTATGTCCGCCAAAGATTTAAAATAACTGTCTATGTGGTCCACCATTTGGTCCTTGTTAACTAATTGACGTAACAATTTCATCCGCTCCTCTCTCCCTTCCTCTATACTGTTGAAGACTTGCGATCTTGTTCGCATCCTTGTTTCTATATTATTGTTTGACGTTGTTGCCGTTGCCGTTGTTACTATTGCTGCTGAATAATTTGGCTCTTCTGTTTCTTCATTTTCTTCAACTGAACAGGCAGCTATCTTGTTCGTAGTACTGCAACCAAAAAGTGTATAGCCAGTATAAAATGAAGCGAAACAATTATATAATATTTTATGACATAATGGCAGTTTTAAATATGTCGTCTTTCTACTTACGGTCTGTGGACAATCATATTTTCATCCAAAAATTGTAAATTCTTTAGACTCTCTTTCGCATCATGTGCTGCACTGCCGGCTGTACTGGCTCTTTTTCTTTTCGTGTAGTAGTCACGTAAATTTGTCCACCGTTTTTTGCAATCTTCAACTGAAAAGGATTAATAATTATGCATTTTATTTAATATTATTTTTGTTTCAGATATTTAGCAACAGGAGAATCCTTCCGATCGTTAGCATTTTCTTTTCGAATAGCCCATAGTTGATTTAGCCGAATAATAAGAGACGTAATTCTGCAATAAACAGGAACATGACCAAAATATATGTATATGCCAACACCTACCCAGGAAATGTTAAAAGAAAGCACAAAACAATTTCATGATCGGTGGAATTTTTCAAATTGCTGTATCGTAATTGATGGAAAACATATCCGAGTTGTTTGGCCGGCTGACACTGGACCACTCCATTTTAATTAGAATGAATACTACTCCACAGTTCTCCTTGCTCTTGTAGATGCAAATTATAAATTGGTGGCCATTAATGTAGGTGAGTATGGTAGCGAAGGTGACGCTGAAATATATGCCAAGTCAAATTTTGGTAAAAAGATAATGGCAGGAGATTTTAATCTTCCATCTCCTGCCGTTTTGCCTGGCACAGACATTTTGCAGCCACATATAATTTTAGGTGGCAGTGCCTTTACCTTAACTGAAAACATAATGAGACCATCCTCTCAATCTGCATCAAATAGCGATGTTGCTATGGCAACATACAATTATCGGCATTCAAGAGCAAGGAGAGCGACCGAAAATGCCTTCTGTATACTAACTCAACGAGTCAGAGTATATTTCACACCGATTGCCGTAAAAAACGTAAATGCCATTGACGACATTACCTTTTCAACCTGTATATTGCACAATATGTTAAGAAACGCAAATGTGCTTGTAGAGAAAAGCGCATCTGCAGTGCCAATAGGAAATATTACAGCCCCTACTCAGAACCGTAGAGGTAATCACAGCGAACACAGAGTGCGAGACGCATTCAAAGATTACACTACTTTACAGCCAAAATGTGCATTCAATGCCACAATTTTTTTCTTATTTATTTTTCCCTACTGAACTCGAAAATCGCAAGAAAAAATTTTTCTATGGATAGGTTTTTTTTGTATGAATTTTTTTTTCGATTTTTTTCTGACACTCCTTCACATTTTAGGCCATTACTCGAGTTCGAAACGTCCGATTGGGTCGCACAAGACGCCATTTTAAAGGTAATCGAATTTTCAACAATTACTTTTTATATTATTTTCCAATCGGTTCAATAGTTTAAGTGTTATGGGCCAATATATATGAGAAACTTTGATTTTTTCGGCTAAAATAGAACACGAATATTTCTTC